ATTTCATTATTTACTGTACCCTTGCTGGTGTGTGGATGCAGAAGCCGCTGCTGGCACCAAGTGGCTGCAGATGGAAGCTACTCCGGAGGTGTTGGACTTGCCAGCCTATCTGTGTTGTGCACATAGATTTTGGGGCTGCATTTTGGAGGGGGGGTCCCTCCCCAGTTTCCCTGATGGTGGGAGCTGCTCCGTCCCATGCTGGGTGGTGCCCTGCGATGCTGGCTGAGCGATTGCCTTGGCCGTGCTTTTCCTTTCTTTAAAATATGTGAAAGAGAAAAAGGCTGTCAGAGGACTCGTTTGCTTGTAATAAATCTCAGTGTGCTCTGCCCTGCATCCCATCCTTATGGGGCTGGGTTGGGTTTTTTTTCCCCCCCGAGTAACTGGAAAAATAACCCATACAGTAACGTCACATGCCTGAAGGCAAAGGGTTGTGGTTACCTGCGAAGGGACACTATTTTTCTTGCCTTTTCAAATACCTGGGGGATTTTAACACCTAACACCGTATTGAGTATTGAAAGAAAAATTACAGTAGACTTTGCACCCTCCTTCGTTTTCAAGTGGAGATGATGGGCGAGCTGTGTTTGGTTGGCTGGAAGACTTTCAAGAAGGCCAGGAGAGCGCAGATGTGGTACCTCTGCTCCCAGCCAGGGAGGTGGGAAAGTGAAATGTCGGGGGTAGCTGTTTGCTTGGGGTTTTTTAAAGCTGAAATCAACGTTTTTGCACTCACAAATCATTCAAAGCCAACTTTATGAATAAACACGATTGCTAACATATCAGAAAAAAATAGGCAGAACTCTCACCAAAATTTTTCTTTTTCTGCATCATCTTCAAATGCCATCCCCCGCTTATCCCTTCTGTAATTAATTTAAATGTATCCGACGCTAGCTTGGAGGCAAGTTTTGAACTTTCTTTACCCATCACTGTGATCTTGCTGCTTTTTTTTCAGTTTGGTGGTGGTTATATTTGAATTTGGAAACCGATTGTCGACCAGCTCTCCCTTGCCAAGCCCCTTTCTAGGCTGGCCTTTGCAGTGGACACCGCTGTGTGCCTGTGTATGAGAGAGCAAAATGCTTGGCTGCCAGGAATTGACTTTGGGCATCTGTGAGTGTTTCATTGTAATGTTAGAGGTGCTTGTTTTAAAGTGAGATCAACCTAGAATAAGAAGCGTTAATTCCATGGTTTTCAGGCTTTTTTTTGGTTTTTGTGAATAATATTTGTGTGCTGTTCTGACTCATCGCTGCACCTGATGGCCGCCTGCAGAAATTAAAAGTTGGAACCAGTTTTGGAACCCACGGGGAGGGGGAATGAGTTCGTTTATTCGCAAGGCCTCAGGACAATTTTGTACTTTAAAGAGATTTGTATAAATAAGTTATTTTAGTTCCTTCATCTTGGATTTGTTTTATTTTTATTTTGTCCTTTAACACAATCTCCCAACTGTGCAGTAAATCAAAAGACTAAAGCTCGTTCGTCTCATGCAGTGGGTCTGCTGCAGGCGAGGCTCTTGCTGTTGCAGTGATCAAGACTCGGGCTATGGCAGTAGGATGGGCGCTCCTCTTCACGTTCAATAAATTTTGCAAGGCGCCAAAAATCCTGCGAGCATCAGCATGTTGATTGTGCTCCACGTTTCGATGCTGCTGCTCAGAGCTGGTGGGATCCTCGTACTTGAATACTGGAGTTATTTTTAACAGATGCTGTAGTACGTTTGCCTCCAGAAGGGCTTTCCCCACCTGCCTTGGCTCGTGTCTTTGACAGCCGATGCAACAGCACTTGTTGATTTTTATTTTCTCTGTAGCACAGAAGAATCTCCCAGTGCCTGGTATAGACCAGGTTGCCCAAACCCAGAGTCTGCATGTTTTGCTACGCCTCTGTCCATCCTTTCCTTCTGTGAGCGATGGTTGAAAGTGTGACAGTAGTACCTGCCAGGAAACGTTTGGGCCAGTACGCTTCGGTTTTGTAATGTAAAAGGATTAGTGGGTGCCAAGTGGCATCAGGCAGGGGGAAAAATCTGTCGTGTGGCTATTTAGACATACCGGTCCAGCTGCAGCTTCCCACCAAGGAAATCCCTAAAACCCCAAGGACCAGAAGCTGAGAAGGTGAATCACGAGAGGAATAAGCACGATTGCTTATTCTCGAGCTATAAATATTTAGTAATAGGTGCCACTAAATAAGATAACTTAGTTTATCAGTTTTCAGAAGTGACATTTGAGATGCAGAAGTTCCTTTGCGTTGAATTTCACAAGTAATCCTGCTTAAAGCATGCTTGTCTGCCTCTCTCCCAGCCGCGTGGCTGCGAAGATTGACTGAAAATTATAGCGTTATTCTTAATGTACTGACTTTCTCCAGGTAATCCTTAAACCATAGGTGTGTTTCATCATCTTTTTTTAGGGAAAGCCTGAGTGAGGGGAGCCGAAGGCCTTGCTGAGACCATCTGCAGCAGCAGTGGGCCAGTTGCTTTGAACACCTCAGGGTCACGGCTGAAAATGGGAAAGGAAGAGGAAAGCTGGGCTGAAAAGACAGGTTTCATCATTGTGCTGCTGTTAAGACTTCTTCAGCATGGTGTTTGGAGAATAATCCTGCTTTCTTATCTTACAGTTGGCACTAAAAGGCTTTGTGGGGGACCCGTCAGGAGAAAAATTAAGATGGAAAGGTTTTTTTAATTTTTCTTTTCTGGTCTTTTTTGCATCTGGTAGTGCAAATCTGACTGCTCTCTGAGTGCCTAGTTACAAAAAACCTGTGAAGACTTGGCCCTTTTTTATTTCCCCATCTGCAAGGCTGCAGGGAGCTGTGCTGCTTGTGTTACCCCATGGCGCTGCACAATGCCTGCTGCTTAATGCAGGGTGGGGGGAGAGGACCGGCGGGCTTTTAGACGCTGACTCAAGGCTTTGCTAAGTATATTCACCAATTACGAGGTTGATCCGAGATATTCGGACCCGTTTCTTATCCTTTAATAAAAGATGCTATCTCACGCTCTGCTAAAATTTGGTCTATTTGAAGGCAGTTGGTAGGAAAAACATTGGTTTGCGTCTTTTGGGCTGAAATTAGGAATATTATAATAGAAGAAAGCAATGGTGCTGCTTTTGAAACAGTACTGACTGAATTTTTGTGTCTCTTGGGTATTGTAAAACTTCTTTGCATCCTTCAAACACGGCAGAAAGGACTACCTCTGCTTTCTAGTGAAGAACACGTACTTCTCCTCCAAATGAGTTTTCCCTCTCCTTTCCCCAGCGCATGAGAAGGGGAGAGGCCAGTGTTTTGTGTCGTGAGTAAACCCCAACATCTGTATTGGACAACAGTAAAAAGTGCCATCTTTTTTCCCCAAATACTGTGTGGGCCACTCGAGTGAAAGCACAAGGTGCTAAGAAGCAGAATTTGTCCAGTTGGAAGCTGCGTCCTGCCAGCATAGTCCACCTAAACCCTTCCAGCCCTGGAGTTTCATGCATTTCAAATGCAATAGGAATCACTTGGTCCCCCACTGAGAAAAGCAGCAAAAGTCTGGCCGATGTGCTAATAACTAAAAAATATTTACCCTCAACTTGGCATTAGCATGGAAATTGTAATAGCTCGTTTGCAAGCAGCCTGGTTGTTACATAGCGTAGCTAAAGGGCGTATATATTAAGTGCATACATAGCCAGCCATGTCTGGAGCTCTGCCTACAGATGGATTGGAAGCAAGGCTGGTGGGTCTGCCAGCTTTCATCTCCCCACCTTCATCTTGGTGGGGTGCCTTGCTGTCTTTTGTGTTAGCTGTGTAATTAAGCACAGAGGAGCGGTTGAGGCAGAAATGGTTAACTCACCGAGCAATATAATGTCAAGTCAGTGGTACTGAGTTGTTCCGTAGGAGTTTAAAAATTAATTTTGTTGTTAAATGTCATCTTCTGGCTTGTGATCAGCTATAGTGTAGGTCATATGTTTTCTGATAAATGTGAAGGAAATTAAATAAGGGATCCTGAATGCGCTGAGATCTGTGAAACTGAAGTCGGTTGAAGTCTAACATTGGTGTTTCTAGAGCCGCAAAGAGGGATGGGGGGAAGGAAAATATGAAATCTGCATTATTCATTTAGCCAAGACATAGTGCTTGTCAAACCCACCACCTTCCCAAGTTGGGAGGATTGCTCTGCCCTTCGCCCCTGCAGCAAAAAAACAGGAGAACATAAACTGGAGAGATGGATTAATGGAGAAGACCTTTCTTTGCTGAAAGGCTTGTGTGAAGTTCTGCAGGGTCCTCAAAGCAGCATTCTCAAGAGTCTTGAAGGGGCTTAGGACAAGGAGAACTTACTGGGACTGGGGAAGGTGAGGTCTGGAGACCTCCACAAACCTTCCTGTGCTGAATCCACCTCTACAGGGCTTGAAGCAGAAAAGAGCTACAATGAGACTTAGTTTTTGCAAGATTTTTCTCTCCAGGTTTATTAGCCACCAGCCCCTTTTATAGCCATCATGAAACCACACCTACATGTACTTCTTTTGAAGCACACGCTTGCGCGTTAGCTCAGTCCTGTGCAGATTTTTGGTCAATCAGAAAATGTCACTGTAGCAGCCAAATTCTTTGCATGCTTATTCAGACGTCCAAGCTGGGAGTGTCTGTGAAGAACACCTTGGTATTTGTTCTTGCGTTTCACCCCTGTGGAGAACTGTGGACACCAGCTTGGTTTCAAGTTAAAGTAGTCATCCTGCCTTTTCAAGCCCAGCTTTACAAACTCTGTCCCCCTGCGAGATAAAACTAGGAGGGCGAGATACAAAGACTTCTTCCAGAGGTTGCCCAAGGAGTAGCACATAGGGAAAATGTTGACTTATTGATGGAGACAGTCTTGGGAGAAGCGTTAGGAATGCATTCATTCAAATGCATTAAGATTCCTCCTTCAGCAGTGTTTCCTGCAATGTTGTTTTTGGTTTTTTTTTTTTACAGTACCTCTTAACACCCTTCCCCTGGACAGAGCTTTCTGCTGCACAGCCTTGTTTTCATCTCCCCCCCCCCCTTTTTTTTTTTTTTTTACCCCCTTCCAGTTTGAGCGGCACGACCCGGTGGAGGGGCGGATCACAGAGCGGCAGTTCGGCAGCATGCTCCTGGCCTACAGCGGGGTGCAATCCAAGAAGCTCACTGTCATGCTGAAGCAGCTCAAGAAGCACTTCCAAGACGGAGAGGTCAGTGGCAAATTCGGGAAGTTGCAGTAGGGGCAGCCGTCCCGTACCGGGCTGAGAAATGAGTAGGCAATCTCCATCTTAAGAAAAGCATCCCCGCCTTGTTAAGCAGTGTAGGGAGACGTGCTGACTTTGCAGATGATAAATACTTTGCCAGCAGCAGGGAGATGGAAGAGGTGGGAGTGCAGTGGTCAGTGTCCAGAACCGGGTGGAGGCTTCTCCCTATCAAAATGGATGCTGTAGTTTTCAAAATCTAAATTCTCTGAACAGCACCCTGGGTCTGGAGCCAGAATAAACACTGAAGGCATGTTCCTAGTTACTGGCTCGACCTTGGATTAATTAGCTGCTGTGACTGGGTGGTTTATTATTTAGTTATGAACTTATGTGGAAAATTATTCGAATTACTCATGATTTAGAGAGGAATAAGGTTGCAGATCCTACACTTGTTAATTCAGTGAGAGACCTTGGAATAAGACATCTGTACCAAAAGGACATGCTTTATCAGGTAAGGCGAGCATGGGCTGCTAAATTACTTCAGTATTAGAATTTCACATCTGCTTCTATACAGATGGATTGCTCCTTTATTAACTAGGTTATAAACAAGTGATTTGTCAAAATGAGACTGGATGGAAAGTCTTTGGCTGCGTGTTGGGTTGGTCTGACTGTTTTATTGCCACTTCCTCCTGGCATCAGAACTGGAGTTTATTTCTTAACTGGCTTAGAAGCAAAGTGTGTTATAAAACACAACCGTTGGCCAGGGCCTAGTCCTTTTTTGTCCCTTTTTGGTGCCTTAACCAGACACCTTTGATGCGCAGGAATCCTCAGATCACGTAAACCCACTCCAGTGATTTTTTTTTCCCCCCCATTTTCTCCCCCTTTCACTGGCACTGGAGGAGAATTTGGGCATACTGAAGCAGCGAGGCATGTAGACTAATAGGTCTCTATTAACTGCAAACAATGCCAAAAAATTAAAAACTGGAGGAAAAAATAAGCAAGCCA